TTTAAAAAAAAATGTTAGGGTTAGGGGTAGGAGTATAATGTCTAACCCATTTGAAAAAGAGTCATTAAAAATCCAACCTGGGCTCGGTTATTGAGTAAGTATATTCATCTTGTAAATATTTCATCAAAATCCCCCAACAATTCCATTATTTTCAAAAAAGGTTAGAGTTCAGGTAAGGGTTGGTTTTAAAAATTGAATTCTAACCTTTTGGTTAAAGGGGGGTAGCTATTTAAAATCTGAGCTTGATTTATGAATTAGGACATTCATGTAGTATATATTTCATCCAAAACCTCCAACAATTCCATTATTTTCAAAAAAGGTTAGAGTTCAGGTAAGGGTTGGTTTTAAAAATTGAAGTTTAACCTTTTGTTTAAAGGGAGGTAGGTATTTAAAATCATTTTATTTAAAAAGAAAAAGAATAAAAAAAAGTGTCTAAATAAGATATAAAACTAGAACAGTACTGATGCAGGGTGTGTTACAACATTCAGGTACATACGAAGATGGTCTATTGCAATTACATTGATGTAAATACTTTTCTGCATCTCTAAATGCAAATATCCAAAAGTGCCTAGAGTTTCATGTATATTGACTAGGAATAAAAGAATGTTTGTCAATTAATAAAGACCAAGTTTCATGAAATCCGGATAAGAAATAAGAAAATTGGTAATGCGCATGCGCACAACAAAAAAATTGTTATTTCCACTGAATTTATTGGATTACACACTTACATAGCAAGTTTGATTAAATTCGGATAAGAAGTAAGAAAGTTTGTAATGCGCATGCGCACAACAAAAATTCAATATTTCAATCAAATTTAGAATTCGATTGTTCACATACATACCAAGTTTGGTGAAATTCGGATAAGAAATAAGAAAGTTGGTAATGCGCATGCGCACAACAAAAATTCCATATTTCCATCAAATTAAGAATTGGATTATACACATACATACCAAGTTTGATTAAATTCGGACAAGAAATAAGAAAGTTGGTAATGCGCATGCGCACAACAAAAATTCAATATTTCCATCAAATTTCGAATTGGATTATACACATACATACCAAGTTTGATTAAATTCGGATAAGAAGTAAGAAAGTTTGTAATACGCATGCGCACAACAAAAATTCAATATTTCCATCAAATTTACAATTGGATTGTACACATACATACCAAGTTTGGTGAAATTCGGATAAGAAATAAGAAAGATGGTAATGCGCATGCGCACAACAAAAATTCAATATTTCCATCAAATTTAGAATTGGATTGTACACATACATACCAATTTTGATGAAATTCGGACAAGAAATAAGAAATATGGTAATGCGCATGCGCTCAACAAAAATTCGATATTTCCATCTAATTTAGAATGGGGTTATACACATACATACCAAGTTTGATGAAATTCAGAAAAGTTAGAAAGTTAGTAATGCGCATTCGCACTACGCAAATTCGATATATCCATCAAATTTTCAATTGGATTATACACATACATACCAAGTTGAGTGAAATTTGGATAAAAAATAAGAAAGTTGGGAAATTAAACAAGAATTTTAAAAAAAATTACTGACTCTGGGGAGTCATTTTGGCATTATTATCATCTTCAGCGCATTTTATTTCACAAATGTACACAAATGCCCACAAAATCAAAGTTTATTGAAAGACAGAGCCTAAATTTCTTGAAAGTAGGTCACATGCATATCATTATCATTTATTGCGTCATTACACTGCTCGCCTTCATTCCACTTCACTTGTTGTCAGTTATTCATCGTAGCTGGTCGCATTTTGGCAAGACTTTTATAAAGTACATTTGTTTGGATGTAGCGGTTTAGTCTGGAAGTTGGAAGTTCACATGGATGTAGCCAGTGAGTAAACTTTAAAGACTGTTGTTCCTAGTTGACCAAGCTCCATGTAAACCCTGTAATTGGGCTAATATTGGAGTCTGGAAGTCAGATAGAACAGCTACATGCTTGTGAGCTTCCAACTTTTTGGCTCTAAAATCAACAAAGTGGGGAAACTTAAAAGACTGTTGTACCAAGTAGACCAAGCTCCATGTACGCCCTGTACTTGCGCTATTATTGGAGTCCGGAAGTTGGATGTTCACAGGTATGCAGCCAGATAGAACAGCTACATTCTTGTGAACCTCCAACTTTTTGGCTCTAAAATCAACAAAGTGAGGAGAGGACTTTTCTAAATAAATGGTAAGAAGGTACTTTTTTAGATACAAGAACAACACTTGACTTTTTTTCAGCTACAGCAACAATACCACTTTGACAGAAGAAGATTTAGAAGGATTTTGTAAGATTGGGACCAGAGGGTTTAATAGCGAGATACAACTGCTTTTGAACCCGCTGGTACCCAGTCTTCAGAATCCAAATACAACAAACAAAGTGTTACCTTGAGGAGAAGGCTTTTCGAAATAAATGGCAAGAAGGTAGGTAGGTAGAACAACACTTGACTTTTTCAGCTGCAGCAACAATACCACTTTGACAGAAGAAGATTTAGAAGGATTTTGTAAGATTGGGTCCAGAGGGTTCAATAGCGAGATACAACTGCTAGTGAACTCTCTGGTACCCAGTCTTCAGAATCCAAAAACAACAAACAAAGTGTTACCATGAGGAGAAGACTTTTCGAAATAAATGGTAAGAAGGTAGGTAGGTAGAACAACACTTGACTTTTTCAGCTGCAGCAACAATACCACTTTGACAGAAGAAGATTTAGAAGGATTTTGTAATA